AAGAGATTTTCAGACTAATGTCCCTGATGAACATTGATGCTAACACCCTCAAAAAAATTCTAGCAAATCGGATCCAGCATTACATTACAAATGGAGTATATTCTGGGGATGGTACAGTATCTGCAAATCAATAAATATGATACATCACATAAAGAAACAGAGAGACAAAAATCACATGATCATATCAATTGATGCAGGAAAAGCATTTGACAAAATCCATCACCTTTGTTGATAAAAACTCTCAGCAGCCCCAGCCAGGGGATAGAGTTGGCCTGCTGTCCAAAAGGTCCCAGATTCCATTTCCAGTCAAGGGCACATACTTTGGTTGCAGACTCCACCCTGCACTGGCCCTGGTCATGGCTCGTGCAGGAGACAATTAACAGATATGTTTTTCTCACATCAATGTTTCTCTCAATTTTCCCTCTCTTCAACTTTCTTCTCTAAAAAAAAGAAAATGTATATATATTGTACATATATACATATATACATAAATGGAAAAAATATCCTTGGGTGAGGATTAAGAAACAAAAACAGAACAAACAAAAACTCTCAGCAAAGTGGGAATAGAGGGATCATACCTCAACATAATAAAAGCCTTACTATATGACAAACCAAAGCCAACATCATACTCAGTGGGCAAAAATTAAAATAATTTTCCTCAAGAACAAGACAAGGATGCCCTCTTTCACCACTCCTGTTTGACATAGTACTGGAAGTGCTAGCCACAGTGATCAGACAAGAGGAAGAAATGAAGGCATCCGAACTAGTTCGGAAAAGAAGAAGTAAAACTGTCATTTGCTGATGACATGATATTGCACATAGAAAAACCTAAAGATTTCATCAAAAAACTAAATGATTTAATAAATGAATTTGACAATGTAGCAGGATACAAAATTAACAACCAGAAATTGATGGTATTTTTATACACCAATAATGAATTGTCAGCAAGAAAAACTAAAAAAAACAATCCCATTTACCATTGCAACAAAAAAATTGAGGTAAAAGACCTGTACTCGGAAAACTACAGGATGTTGAAAGAAGAGAAAAGGAAGATAAAACAAGTGGAAGAATATACCACGTTCATGGATTGGTAGAATCAACTTCATCAAAATGTCCATACTATCCAAAGCAATATACAGATTCAATGCAATGCCCATTAATATACCAATGGCATAGTTCACAGATCTAGAACAAACTCTCCAAAAATTTATATGGAATAAAAAATGACCCCAGAGAGAAACCAAGATGGCCGCATAGGGTAGACACCTGAATGCAGCCTACCACAACAAATTTGAATTTAGAACTGGAAAACAGGGGAAACATCACCCTGAAGCACCGGACGGCTGGCTGAGAGGAGGTTCTACCACCTGGGAAGGAGAGAGAAGGCACACTGAACCTCAGGAACTGTGAAGGTGCGGTGAACTGCGCGCACAAAAAGGCGGCCACCTGACTTGGCTGCAGGCTTGCTTGTGGAACACGGAGAGGGCGGGCCAGGCCGAGTTCGCTACTGGCTTACCCCTTGCGCGCAGAGAAGGAGGACAGCTAATGGCGGCAGCTAGCTTTCTTGTTCGGGAAGAAAACAGAACCACCCTATTGCTCTGATAGACGGCCCCAGACAGGGAGAGGCCAGACTGTCAGGCAGTGGGCAGAGATCTCTTGGAGGTGTGTGAAGCCAGCGACCATTACTGCGAGACTCAGAAACCAGACCCTCGTAGGGAGGGGCTGAATAAAGCTTGTCTGCAACACCCAAGACTCGGCCCCATCCAAGCAGAGCACAGAAGCCCTTCCAGTGGCTAGCTTTCTCATTCGCCGCTAATAGGACTCTCCTAGGGAGGGACAGACAGGAATCCAAAGCTTATCTGCACCTATACCAAAGAGGTGCGCGCACCTGCAACCAATCTTACGGGATTCACCAAAGCTTGGCTGTGCCACCCCAAGACTCTGTCCCATCCAAGTGGAATACAGAAACCCTCCTAGCTGAGACATCTCTGATCCTCATAGCCAACTGGCTTGGAGATCAACACTTCCCAGTGATACCAACAACAAGTAAGGCTTAACAAGACTGCACACACAGCCCACAAAGGGCTACACCAAGACTGTCCACCTCAGGTAACTGGGAGGCTGACTCACTGAACCATATAGGACACCTTAGCACACAAAGCCACCCTACCAACTCAGGGAAGCTGCGAAAATGCTGAGACAAGGAAACAGATCACAAAGGAAAGAAATGAAGGACAAGAAGCAACTGGATATAGAGTTTAAAACCACACTTATAAGGTTTTTCAAGAATTTCCTAGAAAAGGTCAATAAAATAAACGAGACCTATGAGGATATAAAAATGGATCAACTAAAAATAAAAAATACATTGTCTGAAATAAAAAATATTATACAGAGTCCTAAAAACAGAATGGAAGATCGCAAGAATCAAGTCAAAGATTTGGAACATAAAGAGCCAGAAGACACTCCTCTGCAGAAGCTAGAAGGCAAGAGAATCCAGAAAGTTGAAGATAGTGTAAGAAACCTCTGGGACAACTTCAAGCGAACCAACATCAGAATTATGGAGGTCCCAGAAGAAGAGAGAGAGCAAGATACCTAAAGAATAATGAAAGAAATCGTGACAGAAAACTTCCCCCCCCTGGGGAAGGAATTAGACTTACAAGTCCAGGAAGCACACAGAACTCCAAACAAAAGGAATCAAAATTGGACCACACCAGGACACATCATAATTAAAATTCCAAAAGCAAAAGACAAAGAGAGAATATTAAAAGCAGCAAGAGAAAAGCAGGTAGTTACCTATAAAGGAACACCTATACGATTGTCAGCTGATTTCTCAACAGAAACCATGCAGGCCAGATGGGAATGGCAAGAAATATTCAAGGTAATGAATAGCAAGAACCTACAGCCAAAAATACTCTACCCAGCAAAGCTATCACTCAGAATCGAAGGCCAGATAGAGAGCTTCACAAATAACAAAAAGCTAAAGAAGTTCATCACCACCAAACCAGAATTACAATATATGAATTGCTGAAAGGGGTTCTTTAGGAAGAGGAAGAAGATATAGATAAAAATTCTGATCAACAAATACGTAACTATCAACAAATGAAACTAAAAGCCGAGGGAATTAAAAAAAATCTGAACAATATTAACTGGTGAATATAATAGTATCAGAAGTATGGAAAGGGAGTGAACTGACGATTCTTGGGGAAAAGGGGCATGGGGGGTGTGGGAAGAGACTGAACATAAACTCTGTACCTATGGATGAGGACAATGGGGAGTGGGGAAAGGGCAGAGGGTGGGGAGGGAACCTGGTGGAGGAGAGCAATGGTGGGGGTAAAAAAAGGAACATTTGTAATAATATGAACAATAAAGATTTATTTAAAAATTTAAAAAAGACCCCAAATAGCCACAGAAATCTTGAGATAAAAGAACAAGTTGGAGGGATCACAATACCAGACCTCAAGTTATATTACAAAGCCACTGTTCTCAAAACAGCATGGTATTAGCATAAGGACAGACATATAGACCAATGGAACAGAACAGAGAGCCCAGAAATCAACAATGCCGACTGATTATTGAACACATGGATAAATGCCAGGCATGATAATGAGGACTATGTATTCATTATCTGTCCTTCTATCAGCTCTTTAAGATCACTAACATTAGTCCCACTTTACAAATTAAGAAACTGAGACGGAATAACTTGTCAAAAGTCACAGGGCTCTAACTGTTCTGAGACTCAGACAAGCCCAACTCCCAAGCCTCCAATACGCAAGGAATGGACCCCTTTGTGCGAAGTGAGTCCTCCATAAACTGCTTCACAAGTCCTCTTCTGTCTTCATCAACACCCCCCGCGTAAGCAGAGAGGTTTTCACTTGGAAATTTTTATTTATTGTTTACTAGTATAACTCTATCCCATTTAAAAGCTTTTCTCTGAGCCTCTGATCCCTCATTGTACCAGCGGTAAATAATAGAACCTATTTTGCCGGACTTTCCTAAATTCCAATTAGGTCATTCACAAAGCACCAAACTGGAGTAAAAATGCAGTAAAGGTTCGCCGGCACCGCCATCATCTTCCGGTCCTTCCTGAGTTCAGTGTCACCGCAGATAAACACGGCGCCCTTTCTCCTCCACCAGCGCCATGTGTTTCCCTACAGAGCACTTGCTGCGACGTGTGACTAGAAGTTTACTTACTTCCCCTTCCCCGCTGCCCTGAAACCTGCGCGAGGCTCCGCCACATCCCCTGCTGAGAACAGAGCTGGTCTAGACCACATGTGTCAAACACAAGGCCCGCGGGCCAAATCCGTCCCGCCAGGCCTTGCAATGTGGCCCGCACCTCGCTGTCATCACTGCACTCGGCTGTGTTTCCATCACAATGACAGTTTATGACTGTTCAGTAAACCATTCGGCCCGCGATTTAGGCTGGATTTTAGATTTTGGCCCCTTCTCTGATTGAGTTCGACACCCCTAGTCTAGACCATGGACTTGACAAGTAAGCAGATGAGTGAAGAAGTGGGAAGGGCAGTACCATCAAGGAGGGGGTCTCAGTTAAGCCAGTGGAGATCTGAGCAGAACCGGTTCGGCCAGGAAGGCACGTGCTGGCCTGGAGAGGAAGGTTTGTACTGGGAATGCGGCGCCGCAGCGCCCTCGGAAATGGCCCCGAGCCGCGCCGCCGCCGGGCGCAGCCGGGCCGGGCGCGGAGGGGGGAGGCGGGGGGAGGCCGGAGAGGAGCGGGCCGAGGGGCGCTCGGGGAAAGGTCCAGGTTCAGGACGCGGCTCGGAGTGGCCGGGACCGCGGGTCAGGCACGGGCACGCGCGGAGCGGAAACCGGGACGGAAACCGGAGGGGGCGCGGTCGCCAAGCCACGCTCCGCGGCGGCCAGGGTGCCTCTGACTTGGGCCCCGGGCGGCGGGCGCGGCGAGGGAAAGGCCCGGGTCCCGCGCCGAGCAGCGGCGGGCGCCGCGGGCTCCGCCCACCGTAGGGTCAGCCCCGGCCGCCACTCGCCTGAGGAAGTACGGCTTGGCGTAGAACCTGAAGTCGGCGCCCTGGAAGTAGACGTCGAACTCGGAGACACGGGCGTGGGGCACGCGGATGGCGACGGTCAGGAAGTCGGCGTCCTGGCTGAGGTCGAACGCCGGTGTGAGCATCGCCGCGGCCCCGTCAGACCCTCCAGAAATCTTGCCTCGCCCGCCGCTCTGGTTACCCTGGCGCTTCCGGACCAAGGCGGAAGTGCTCCTCTGTGGGAGAGGAAGTCCCGCCCCACCGCCATCTCCATGGAGACGGGACGCTATTGGTTCAGTGGAGAGGGAGTCTGGAGCCCGGCTTTGTGCCTAGGCAATGTGCTCCGGGCACAATTTGGAAGAACCCGAGCATGTGTCCGCCTCAGACGCACTCAACCCTTCGCATTGCTTCGAGATGATTTTTTAAAAATATATTTTATTGATATTTTACAGAGAGGAAGAGAGAGGGATAGAGAGTTAGAAACTTGGGTGAGAGAGAGTCATCCATCAGCTGCCTCTTGCACACCCCCTACTGGGGATGTGCCCGCAACCAAGGTACATGCCCTTGAGCAGAATCAAACCTGGGACCTTTCAGTCTGTAGGCCAATGCTCTATCCACTGAGCCAAACCAGTTTCGGCTCAAGATGATTTTAATAGCATAGGCTTCCCAGGTAGAGGCCTGCATTTGAATACCTCTCGGCCACTTCCCTGCTGTAAGACTGGGAAAATTACAAAACCTCTGCTTCAGCATTCTCTTCTATAAAATGAGGCTAACACTAGCCTCATAGAAATACTGTGAGGATAACATCGAGTTCTGTAAGCTCTAAGAACGAACGTGCCTGGCCAGTTGTCAATAGAGCAGTCACCCCGGCAGCCAACAGCAGCCAAGCAGCACCCATACTGTCATTTTCCTTAGTTCTCATCTGTTTTGCTAACAATTCTCCCCACCACGCCTCTCCCCCTCCACATTTCTCTCCCTCTTCCTCTCTCTTATAGTTCAGACAGAAAGGGAGAGGGAGAGATAGGCAGAAACATCAGTGATGAGAGAGAATCATTGATGGGCTGCTGCCTGCACACTGGGAATCAAGCTGGAAACTTGGGCATGGGCCCTGGTGGGAATTGTTCATGTAAAAAAAAGCAACACAGACACACACACACACACACACACACACACACACACACACAAACACACACACACACACACAAAAACAAAAACAAAAAAAACATTCAAACCTGTAAAGAATTTCTGTGACTTTATTTGAGCCAAACACTTGACATATGGCAGGAAGCAGAACCTCAGCAAATTGAGATAATGCTCCAGAGGATGGCGAGTTACATTTGTATTTATACATCGCAATCAAAGGAAATGGTTGTAGGTGGGTTACATGAAATTCATTGGTGATAGACTAGAGAGGTGGGAGAAAGCAAAGTTGGGAAATCCCTGGGATTGGATAAAAGGTAAAATGATGGACATTTAGGTGGGTTCAGGAACAATTAACATGATAAGGAAGGAATTTGTGGTCTCTGTCTTGGCACCCAGCATATTAGGTTGTGTCCCAAGGGGTCCAGAAAAAGGGAAATTACAAGTTTCCCAGACATTTCCAGGGTGTGTTATCATAGATGCAAAAGGACAGATGGGCTCAGTTAAGGTAAAGGTTGACCTTGTCAGTGAAGATATCAGCCTAGGAGGTGACTGCCCACCATAATTGCTTTTAGTTAGAGTTTAATTTTAGACCATCCTTTGCAGTTACTTTAGGTCTCTGAGTTTGCAAGAGTGTCATGCAGGCCTCCCCTGAGCTTGTCAGGTTAGCAGGTGGCCCCTTTTGTCCACAAAATCCAATTGTGACCTCCTTGGCTCATAGGTCAAGGCTCAACCACTAAGCTATGCAGGCCAGGCCCAATTAATCTCTTTTAATCTGCACTATGAACTCTGAAGAATACGACTCAGAGCAGTTAAGCAATACATCCTATCTAATAAAAGAGTGATATGCAAACTGACCATCACTCCAACACACAAGATGGCTGCCCCATGTGGATACAAGATGACCACCACAAGATGGCCAGCAGGGGAGGGCAGTTGGGAGGGACCAGACCTGCTAGGGAGGGCAGTTGGGGGCGATCAAGCCTGCAGGGGAGAGTAGTTAGGGGTGACCAGGCCAGCAGAGGAGGGAAATTGGAGGTGACCAGACCTGCAGGGTAGGACTGTTAGGGGTGACCAGGCTGGCAGGTGACCAGTTAAGCATCAATCAGGCTGACATGGGAGTGGTTAGGGGGTAATCAGGTTGGCAGGTGAAGTGGTTAGGGGCAATCAGGAAGGCAGGCAGGTGAGCAGTTGGAAGGAAGCAGTTGGGAGTGGAGGGGTCCCTGATCGGAGAGTGCAGTTTGGGTTGAGGGACACATACCACTGTGCACAAATTTCATGCACCAGGCCTTTAGTCTTATAATAATCATGCATTTTACAATTATCAGAACCCAGAACGTCTGACTCTTAAACCCAGATAGTGACTGTATTGACAAATTACAGTCTCTCTATACTTTCCCCTTACTTGAATTTTCTTCTTAGACTTGTTTGAGGTCCTCTTCCCTGACTCATTTTTTTCTTCTTTTCCCTTTGGTCTAAGCTCCTCATACTCTCCCAGACCTCTCCAAATAATCTCTTTGCCTATATATATATATATATATATATATATATATATATTCTCTCATTTTATTTCTGTTATTCCAGTAATAGCTAGAATAATCCAGGAAATAAGAATATTTATAATAATCCAGGAAATAGGAATTCCCTAAAGCAGGAATTTTAGGGGAGCATAGGCAGGCTCAGGGATTTTTTAGAATTGGGGGTCATGGAAAAGTGCGGGGCTACAGACTAGGACAGGGGTCTGCAACCTTTAAGACATAAAGAGCCACTTGGACCCATTTTCGAAGGAAAAAAAAAACCCGGGAGCCGCAAAACCATTGCGACATTTAAAACAAATATAACACTGCATATATTGTTTCTTACCTTAATGCTATATACCGGATCGTGCAGTTAGCTGTCAATCTGAAGAAAAAAAGGACTTTTCCACTTAACAATGTTTTTGCAAATTACAATAATAGCTAATTAAAATATTTAATTTACCTGGTTAATGGGATTTTTGCTCCTGAACCTCAGTGCACAGTGTCAGCACATCAGGGCTGTAAGACGTTACCTTCATTTTCACACAGGCTTGCAAGTTGTCGGAGCCGCGGTAAAGCTTCAAAAGAGCCACAAGCGGCTCTGGAGCCGTAGGCTGCAGACACCTGGACTAGGAGAAGGTACATTTCCATAACACAAGGAAGCAAGGTGCAGTTACATTTCCATAAGACAAGGGAGGCAGCAACAGGTATTGTACCTAATAAAAGAGTAATATGCAAATTAACCATCACTCTGCTCAAGCCACGCCCACCAGCCATGCCCACCAGCCAATCAGAGCAAGTATGCAAATTAACCCCAACCAAGATGGCTGCAGCCACAGAGAGCAGTTGAGAGGCTTGGATTTCAATAGAGAAAGCCAAGCTTTCCACACACCCTGGCTGGCATAGGCCTCCATTCAAGGATACAAAATTCAATTATTGAAGATAGATAAAATTATTGAAGATAGATAGAAATGGCTGCTAGCTGAAACCGGTTTGGCTCAGTGGATAGAGCGTTGGACTGCAGACTGAAAGGTCCCAGGTTTGATTCTGCTCAAGGGCATGTACCTTGGTTGCAGGCACATCCCCAGTAGGGGGTGCGCAAGAGGCAGCTGATCGATGTTTCTCTCTCATCGATATTTCTAACTCTCTATCCCTCTCTCTTCCTCTCTGTAAAATATCAATAAAATATAATAAAAAGAAAAAAAAAGAAATGGCTGCCAACCACGGTTGGCTCTACTCCAGGCTGCAAAGTTTCAATTGTAGAAGGTAAATAAATTACAGATACCAAGGTCTCCACTTGGGTCTCCAGGGGGCATGGCCGGCCTGCAAACCACCACAGGCCCCTCACTCAGGCTGCCACACGCCCCAAGGAAACCCCCACCTTGATCCGAGATACCCTTCAGGGCAAACCAGCCGGTCCCCACCCATGCACCAGGCCTCTGTCCTATCTAATAAAAGAGTAGTATGCAGATTGACCATCACTCCAACACACAATAGCTGCCCCCATGTGGTCAAAGATCCTGCCCCCATGTGGACACAAGATGGCCAGCAGGGGTACAGTTGGGAGGCACCAGTCCTGCTAGAGAGGGCAGTTGAGAGGGACCAGGTCTGCAAGGGAGGGCAGTTGGAGGTGATCAACCCTGCAGGGGAGGGCAGTTAGGGGTGGCCAGTGGAGGTAAGTTGGAGGCAAACAGGCTGGCAGGGGAGCAGTTAGACATCAACCAGGCTGGCATGGGAATGAGAGTGGTTTGAGGGTAATCAGGCTGGCAGGCAGAAGCGGTTAGGAGCAATCAGGAAGGCAGGCAGGCGAGCAGTTGGGAGCCAGAAGTCCTGGATTGTGAGAGGGATGTCTGACCCAGTGGGATCAGGTCTAAACAGGCAGTTTAACATCCCTGAAGAGGGGAGAGGGTGCAGGCTGGACTGAGGGACACCCGCCTATCCCATACATGAATTTCGTGTACTGGGCCTCTAGTATTTCCATAAGACAAGGGAATTGGAAGTGACCAAGAAAGGTCACATTTACAAAATAAAGAGAAGGAAGCCCTTCATTCAGAATTTGAGAAAGAAAACCCAAAGGGAATAGGAAAACAATAAGGAAGGAGGGGGAAGAACCTCACATGTCCCACATGAGTTTCGACCTTTGAGCCCAGGAGTTACTATGGTAACCAGTCAAAGGGAATAGTGACCAATCACTATTGAGGGGATATCAAGGCACCAAGATCTGCAGCCTTTATAAGGCTTTGGGAAGAGGAATCAGTGGGACCCTTTCCCCCTCCCTACTTGAGAGTCCGTTCTGTACGACTCTTCCCTCTCCCCAAGTGGTAGTTTATACTCATTCTTTTATAAATCTCCACCTTTGCTAGACAAAGGTGAATTCATTCTTCAATTCTGGTGGACAAAGAATCTGGGTTCCAGCAAAAATTCAGTATCACTGGTTTTAAGAATAAGTGAAGGAGGGGGGAAAGTTCTGTTCTCAGACAGTGGACCAGATAACTTCCAAAGCTTTGTCAACTTCCAATTTTCCACCTATCAAAAGAGACAGATAAAGACTAATTTACCTATTGTAATTAGTTTCATGAGTGGAAACTAACTAGGATTCAGAAAAAATACATTAACAGAAACAAAATTAAAAAACACTCTGCTTAAATCTGGAAGTTTTGATAAAGACAAAATAAGAGGTCATATGTAACACAGAGCTTAACTGAATGCTTACCAGATAATATGTGCCATCACTATAC